CTTTTCATACACCGCTACATAAATTTGCTGGCCAAAATCTGCCTTCAATTACCACAATATCATAAATAAATATATATATTTGGAAGCACGGAACTCGTGTGTAAAAACTGTGGTAAAGACTGTCACTCAAGGATAGGACTGCACAGCCACTCGAGAAAATGCAAAACAACCCAACGGTGATGCACCATCGTCTCACGAGACGGAAGGATGCCGATGCTAGATATATAAATATATAAATGTAATACTATAATGGACCTACACCTTCTTCTGACAAGATCATGCTGATACCATACTGAATTCCTAGCAACATAATGTAATATAAGTAGAATAAATATGTTTCACATAAACAGCGCAGTAGACAGCATTACAGGCTTGAGATGTCCGTTTTTCACCTTGTAGATAACAAAACACACATCATTCCAACCAAGAGTGAATAAGCAGGACACGTAACATTCTAAAAGTTTCTTAAGGGAATGTCTTAATTAAAACAATGGACATTGAAAGACATTGAATAAGGAATACCAAGCAAAAAAATTGCAAATCTTGACTTTAATAAACCTAGCAATGGACGTTGAAACTTGTGAAATAAAGATTACCTTATACATGTCTGGTTTTGCTTATAGTAAAGCCGGTAGTGTGGTTAGGGTTTGTGAAGTCTCCATTGTGTGGTTAGAGTTTGTGACGTCTTTAATTGTGTGGTTAGAGTTTGAGACGTCTTTAATTGTGTGGTTAGAGTTTGTGACGTCTTTAATTGTGTGGTTAGAGTTTGCTCGATCCATTAATGGCTAGAGTTAGTGACGTACTTCTTTGTGTTTTTCGAGCATGTGACGTCCTTCATCGTTGAATCCATTTTGGGACTTCCTTCATTGTGTTTTTAGAGTTTGTGACGTCTCCATTGTGTGGTTAGAGTTTGTGAGTCTCCATTGTGTGGTTAGAGTTTGTGACGTCTCCATTGTGTGGTTAGAGTTGGTGAGTCTCCATTGTGTGGTTAGATTTTGTGACGTCTCCATTGTGTTGATAGAGAATGTGACGTCATTCATTGTTGGTTATATTTTGGGACATCTTTCATTTTTTGCTGGAATGTGTGACGCCCTTCATTTTGTGAACCCATTTTCCTACGCCATGAGTGAAACTTTTAAATTCCAGTATTTTCTTGTCAAACAACAATGTTTCAACGCTTATAGAATTCGTAACCAAAATAAACAACATCAAAAGTCCTCGAATGTTTACTTGATAGGACTAATATGTTATACTGTTGAGAACCGCTGGTCCTCACCTTTGTGAGACCCGCTGGCTCCACTCTCTCCATCGCTTCCCCACGCGTTCTGCGCTACCCCACGCGATATGACACAATTAGGCTGGGCCTTAAAATAATACAAGTAGACTCAAATAACAATTGAAATTAACTTATTCACTTTGGCCATGACCCAGTTTAAGCAATACACTCATTCTTGTCAAGCGTCCCAACTCTGAGTTATCACTCTGATGACCAACGCGTAACGGAATCCCAAGCCACGCTTGTGAGTCATTTAAACACGACTCTGGGATGCCACGCTTAAATGCGGGACAAGCACGCCAAACTTAGAGTATATATTGAAAGCCCAAATCATGTATCGGCCTCTCTTACCTGAATTATGTCAGAAGAGCCTGGCTGGCATAATTAGCTGATAAAGTGTGTTTATCCGATTGTGTCGGGTTAGTATTGTTCACTGTCATATTCATGTGTACTGGTATGTAGAGTCGTAGATGTAATGTTATTAAGAAAATGGTAGGACCATAGTTACTATTGTTAATGTTGATTATGATAACTATTAATACTTTATAATTGATGTGATTTGTAATTCTTAGCTATGTCTTATGCATTGTATTTATTATTCTCATTTCTAGCCAGTAAACTGAAGTAAAGTATAGTTACGTAAAGTGAAGTAAACTGAAGTTAAAGTGAAGTAAAGTGAAGTAAAGTGAAGTAAATTACAGTAGTAGTAAAGTAAAGTAAATTACATGAAGTAAATTACTTGAATTAAGTTACAGTAAGTAACATTTGGCCAGTGAAGAATATTTGACCAGAAAGTATTTGTAAAGTAAATAACATTCGGTCAGAGTTGTAGTAGTTCAATAAATAATATCTGGAACTAAAGTTAGTACAGTTCAGTAAAGGAGGCGCAGTTATTAGCATAAAGGAATCCAAAGGAATCAACAAGACGGTAGCATATACTGTGTGTGTGTTACCCACAGTAAAGTTCAAAGTCGGCACCTACCTCCTCGCAGTGCCAGTGACCGGAGACACTTACGCAGTCAAGCCGCCCAANTGTGTGGGACTTACTTATTTGACCAGATCGACATTGAGAGCCTACTATGCATTAATATTGGGCAGTATCTTGTTATCCTGTTTATGTGTATAGTATATGTAATGTGTATGCTGATAGTCCTGTTTTTATAATTAAATATTTATTTGTGGGCTAAACCACTCTTGTGTTATCAGTATAGTTAAAGTATTACTAGAATTGCAAGTGAGAGCTAGTGAGAGTTCATTGAATGATAGAGTGAGTGTGAAGTAGAATACTTCATCAGGAAATTAATCGCACCCTAGACATAGCCATAATAGCAGTACTAATCTAACGTAGAGGAAAGGGACCTTTGCACATAAACATTTCAAACACCCAATACTTTTAACAATTGGGGCAGAACATAATTAATTACAACACATCATAGTTTGTAACAAATACCTAACACTCAGATGTGCTAAAAAGTTAGTGAGACTTGATGCACGACCATGTAGTGTGTGAAGTGGGTCTCTGATTGTTTCTAATTTTAGAATGTATCATTCTACGAACATAACACAAATATAACATGATGCTTTTTTTAATTGCGGTATCGTCATTGCTAATAAAGACTTGTTCACTAGACAGTACAAATAATTTTCTCCAAATGTCTTTGTTAGGAGTGTGAGAAGGTTCGAAAGACCGAACCAAATTTTTGGGTTTATGAATAATTGGCTAAAATGACATCAATCACTATGTGATGTTTAGGGGACACTTTTGAGGTTTAGCCCCGGGAAGTTGCACATTAGGTTCAGGCTGAGCCATTGGGTGAGCTTTAGAGGTCACCGGCCACATACTGAGCCATCAGGTGAGCTTTAGAGGTCCCCGCCACTTTTCTGTTCCGAGGACCCTCACGTTTTGCGTTCAAAATTGAATTTTCCATTTACGTTTTTAAATATCCCAGGCCACCTGCAGCCACAGGTGTCGCAGGGCCCACACGAATGTTCCTAGTCAAGGTACCCCACATTACACCCCCTTCACACACACGCACCTAGAGCCCGGCAATTTATCCATGTTCTCCATTTTGAGTTTGATATCGCGACTGATGAATGAAAAGGGATTCTTAATCGCTTATTCACTGACCCAATTAGTTGACGTGGTAATTTTGTTCATCTTTTTGTCACCGCTGCCATTGTAAGACTAAAGTCCTCAATAAAGTTATAAAATGTTTACGATTTCTCTTGCTCTCCTTACTTTTTCCTGTATGTGCTGAAACTTGATATTCGGCGATGCCCAAGATACTCACCAGCACTATACACTACGTCGTTACAAGTACGGTCACAATAAAATCAAGTTACCACCACTCAAAATTTGGATCCCTTGTCCCATGGTCCCCTAAAGGAGTCGGCCACTAAAGGCGTGGGCCCCTAAAGGAGTTGACCCCTAAAAGGAGTGGAACCCTAAAAGGAGTGGACTCCTAAAAGGCGTGGGCCCCTAAAATATCGTAGATACTTGCATCATTTTCTTTAGGTTATTTAAACACTGAGTTTCGTAATAAAAATCTTAAGGATGTGAAGCAAAGTATTTGAAAGAGAAGAAATTCAAACAAAATGAACTAGAACAACAATAAACTCTGCGATGAAAACTGCATTCACAACTCAATAATATTTAGTCTTTCATGATGACAGCGAAGCATTCCCTTACCCACTTCGTTGCACTAAGTGACAAGTGGGCATATCAATAAAACGTTTCCTCATATTGTGATATAGTCAAACTACCAACCTAAATTCTGACACCATTTAAAAACGCACTTGACTCAAACTGTGTACCTAAATCATGTCAACACCTGGAATTCAACATAGAACCTGCAATGATAGATTCCTGCTCACAAAGGAGATTTTCGACACTACAAAATCGATATAAGAATACTTATTAAGTATTTATGATTCCTTCAAGGAAATGACATAAAATGGGGCTCACTATCGACAGGTATACAACGCTACCATTAAATCTGCTCAGTCAATAGTTTTCTGGTATTGATTTTTAGTTTCTTGTACAATCAAATACAATTAAATAGACTTTTAAAATGCACAAAATGTGGCCAATCTTTAAACATATGTTAGAAATTATATTAGTGGTGGTATCGCTTCTATGCCATCAACTTAACCTGTATTTAATTTTCTGGAGAAAATTAGTTGCCTCAGGTGAACTTTGTTAGCTCACTTACTAGATTAGCATTATTCAAATAATGTTGATACCATCTCATTTACATCACCCTTACTATTAAAAACTGAATCCTGCTAGAGGGTAAATATAATTATATTGTAGTAGTAGCGATACAAAATCTAAGCTACAATCGCGGGGCAAGCCCTATATAGCTATCGACACTTAAGTGGATATTGTGATTTCCAAATTTACTGCACAAATTAAATGTATCAAAAGACTGGCTGCTTTACCCGTCGTGGCCCGGATGATTCTTTAGAGGTATAAATGGCAACGACTGCAGCAGTAACACGTCAACGCCTGATGTAAAAACCCTTGTCGCTAATCAATATTAATATCTAGTCACCGAGACTTAAAATGCCGAATGTAAACGGGACGGAGACAAGTCGCAATCCAAAGATGAATCTTTCGTCCTTAATCGGCAATGACGATCTTCCGTATCCAGTGAGGCAAGCTGGGAATGTAGCGCTCACGAGCTTTCTCGGCCCCGCCTTGGTCGCATTCGGACTGGTCACCAATGGGATAAACATCAAAATATTCGCTGGCCTTGACCTAAGAAATTGTGTCAACGTCTCGTTCCTGATACTGAGCATATCCGACTTCGCTTACTTGCTGGTCGATTACATCGTATTCCTATTAAACATTCTTATGGTGGAGGGATATAGACTTTCTGTTGAGCCGATCTCTTTCATAATTTACTTCCTGACGTTCAACCGATTGTTTTACGACCTGTCCAACACAGTCACCTGCTTCATCGCGGTCACCAGGTGCTGCTGTATCGTTTTTCCTTTCAGATTTAAAACCGTGTTCACCAGGTCAAGGACGCTCACGATAATAGGGATAATCTACATTCTCTTTCTATCCGAATACATGCCCCTGATTGCTTACGTTGGACTTGACGGTGTGTACAACGCAGTCTTGAACATGACCCAGACAGGTATACGCTATCCACCGAGTCGACTGGCCATGGTCAGGGTGATCTCGGACATCTTGAATAAAAACACACTTCTCTTAGCCACCTTTTCAGTTTCACTGCTCTGCTTGGTCGTCATTAGAAATGCTTTAAGTTCTGCATCGAAATTTCAAAGTTCTTTGGTAACGCAGTCATTAAACGTCCCAGAATTGTCAAAGTCGGTACATAATTCCACTGGGGATCCCGGAAGAGGTCTCAAAAGTCCAAAATTATTGCAGTCCTCCTCTGAGCTCCGAGTCATCAAGGGCGTGTCTATAGTTTTGATCATGTCCATGTTAAGTCACATCCCGCAAATGTGTCTCTGCTATGGCAAGTTGATTGTTCCAGAGTTGAGCTATGGGCTGCGCTATGGCAACTGGTACGTCCTGATCAACGCCATCGCCATGTTTGTCGTTGAAGTGAACACATCGGCCAAGTGTTTTGTGTATTACAGATTTAACGGTCGTTACAGAGAGCGACTCAAATCCTGGTTTAAATTGTGGTCGAAAATGAAGAAATGATGTCCATTTTAAAATCACGTGACTATTACTCTCCTCCTCCCCCCCCCCCACCAGCTGACACCGGCATGACATACACTATCTTCATGGGCCGCTGATTGGCTAAGACAATTGGCAAGTGTTCTGAAGTGTTCTTAGTTTCGAATCCCTGCTACAAGGAATGTCCATACCACATGTGTAAAACTCAAGGCCCGCGGGCCACATCCGACCCGCCGTACAATTATATCTGGCTCGCGAGGTTTTGACCGGCGTACAATTATGTCCAAATCAAAGCTTTGGTATTTCCCAATGCAAACTTTGCAGAAAAACTTGGCTTACTTCGCGCGGATTTCGCAAGGCGCTTTAATGATTTTGAAGCACAGCAAATGTACTTTCGAGCTGTGTTAACCCATTCGTCATAGACGTGGAAACTGCACCTGTAAATTTGCAGATGGAGCCATTGAACTGCAGTGTAATTCGAGACTAAAGACAAAGTAAGACACAGTTGGGCCTGCTCGATTCACTCGTTTCATTCCTGAAGAGATGCCCCAGCTTCGTCTACATGAGACTTGAAACTAGAGCATGTTGGTTAGTTGGTGAGCAGCTGTTTTCTGTGATGAAGATTAACAGAACATCATACAGGAGTCATCTCGCTGATCAACACTTGCAGCTCCACCATGAGACACTCAATGACACAGAACGTTACTTGTTTTTGTATCCAAAAATATGTCAAACATTGAGTTCTGACAAATTGGCATGAGAACGAAAATGGGTATACCAATGATTTTTAATTCTTAAAAGTTTTTTTCTGTTTTGATTTATATAATTTTTTTTCTTTAAAAGATTAATTTTCCGCTTATTGAATGTTTAGCCTATTCGGCCCGCAACCTTGCGTGTGATTTTAGTTTTTAGCCGGCCGAGTCATTGAGTTTGACACCCCTGGTCTACATTCTACCACCACCACCAGTTGGTTTAACAGTCTCACAGCTGAGGCTAACTCATTCAAAATATTACGTTACAACGGAATTTATTGCACTATCTTTGATCAGAGCTATGATAACAAGTGATATTAAAACCCACAAAATAGAGTCATACAATTCAAAATTTTCACTTTTTTTTTTTTTTTTTTTTTTTTTTTTTTTTTTTTTAAAGGAAAGGGAACAGAAATCAAAAAATCTAGACTGCGTCAAGCTGATATTTCCAAATAATTGCTTACGTTGTTAAATTTTATGTTTTTTTTTCTTTTTGCTTTTTTGCTAGAAGAATTCCTTCCGGAGTCTGGTATTAACTACATTTTCTTTTTTTTTTTTTTTTTTTTTTTTTTTTTTTTAAAGGAAAGGGAACAGAAATCAAAAAATCAAGACTGCGTCAAGCTGATATTTCCAAATAATTGCTTACGTTGTTAAATTTTATGTTTTTTTTTCTTTTTGCTTTTTTGCTAGAAGAATTCCTTCCGGAGTCTGGTACTAACTACACATAAAAATAATGAATTATGTGTGAAGACAATTGTAAAATGAAACTTTTGATCAAACAATGTCCTGAAGATTTTGGCCAAAAACTTTTCCCACTGTCTGCTGTCTGCCTCCTCTCTGTAAAACAAATGATATCTGGCTGGACATTTTGTAACATGAATCGATTTCACTACAGCACAATACAGTGAAAAAGATAATAAGGTTGATTTATTTTAATATTCTATTTTAAACTTACCTGGAAATAATTATTTTAATTAACATCATCATTTTTCTCGATAAGATAAGACTCTATATTGATACAAATAAATGGAAACGTTTTTAGCACAAAATTAAATACATATTTTAACCAAGACAACATTTTACAATTAAAAAATGTAAACACAAGACATCTGAAGTATTTTAGTTTGACAAGAGCAATGTTACTCTGAAGGACTTTTTGGTTTGTGTGATATCAATAGCTTTCTTGATGAGTCTATTGAATTGGTGTTTGATGTCAGATGATCAATTCCTACACCGGCAAGTAATACCGAGGTTCAGTAGGCTTCCAATTGTTGCATTGTCAAGTTATTTACTTCTTCGTTTGTTTATGCCGACATTGTACAGTTTTTAAAGATATTAAAGTCTTTGTTTCATTCCTTAATACATAATTTTGCCGTGCTCATGCCAGGCCAGCTTATTATTAATGGTGACTTATATGCCTCTACGACTTGCTCTTACTGTGATGATTTATGGTGAGATAACTAATTGGCTGATGGACCCTCCGGAAATGGACAACCCTTTCTATTGTTCTCGAAAAATTCATGGGAAGAAAAACCTCAGCTGAATGAGCTTGTAACTAAGTTGCGGTATAGATTTCCCCTTCAGATATTAAGCGAACGGTTGTGATTTCATCCGGGTATTTAATGTTTGGAGCAGTGTTGCTTGGGCTCTGGATTCCATTGGTGTGTCATACATTGTAGACAAGAAAGGGGAGAAAATGCAACGTTGTGTCTTCCCGGTAATTATTTCTCGAATTGATGATATTTGGTCATTCACCGTGACGTGGTGGGCGATTTGTTAAAAAGTTCAGCATCCACGCTTTAATATTTGAATTTACATTCAAAGAGTAAAACATTTTATCATAATGTGTGGCTGTATAGTGTTATTTTTATGTTTATTTAGGGGACGGTAAAGTCTTTCCCATATTAATAAGATGGTATGTTCATTACTCCAGCAAATTTGTGTAGTGTAAAGTAATTTTCTGTACTTAATTCAAAATTTGTCTGATGATAAGATTCTCAAAATATTTCATTACAAAGAGGTAAAATTGAACAGGACATAGATCGTTATTTCTAGTGACTTTACTTCGCTTTGGAATTGGTATACTTTCTGAAGTGTTTCATACGATTTATTTAATATGTATACAAATATAGGAGAGCTCTTCTGACAGAGTTTAACAAGCCATCCACTTCATTCGTCTGGCCCCGAGACATTGGCTGCATTCACTTGTTTCAATTATGGCATCACGTCCTCTTTATTGAACATAATGGATCATCTTGTGTAGAACTTCTATCGCTAAAACTAAATGATTTAATCATATTCTTATTCCCATTCCCAAAATCTTTAAGTCTTTCAAATCGACATTAAAAGTCATGTAATCAAGTCAGTTACACAATTTTTCACATCCTCGTCACGCAAGAATTCCCGTGATGATCGGATATCGTTATTTTCTTAAATTGATATTTATTATTTTTTATGTGAAACAACAATATCAACAAAACAAACCAAACGCAATGACAGAAACACTAACAAAGCCAGCGGGCAGGGATGGGGTTGTGTACCACATATACTACTCTGTGGTTCTGCAGAAGGCTTCGTTCGATTATCCGCGCATTTGTTTTGTCTGAGCCACCCCCTCCATCAGGGGGGGGGGCATCTAGTGAGCTTTGTGGTATTTTAAGATGTTGGTACACCATTACCCGCGACTTGTCTCCACATTGTCCGTATCTGGCCTTTCTGTCCTTCATTGGCGGATGCAAACGCTTTATTAGGGTGTTTGATATTTGGATAAAACATTATTTCATAACCTACTACCAATTGTTGTATTACTTTGAACTGGTTACAGCCCGCCAAACATTGGTGACGGCAATGCGTGAACTTCCCATCTACTTAAGTTACTAGACAAAACATGAACTCAAGTAACGCACATTTATGAATTCCAATTTTTTGCTACACCCCCACCCCCATAACACGTCACTGCACACTTTTTATTTCACGCCCATGAACTATATCAACTATTCTGATGTCCCAACCACTTTTAAACTGAATATTTTTTTTACACCATACTTAAATTGAGACGATTTCATTTATCGAAAAATATTACGCACCAAACGAAGTTGCGTTATTAAAAAAAAATATAAATGATTTAGCGTAATTATCGGGAATTATATTTTGCGCGCTAGTGAACTCATTATCTATATATAGCTTGCCTGGTGGTGGTGTTTGACCCTTGCTGGCGAATTAGGTATATAGATTAGAAAATATTCTCCTGGTATAGTGTGTATGGGAAAATATTGTTCGGACTGTATTGTTGGTGGGGTTGGAGGGGGAGGTTATCAAATATGGGAACTCACTAATCAATTTTGCGCACCGGATATTGTGTTTTATTGTGCGCTGTACATTTTTGAGACAGTTAGTAGTTAATGAACGCCCTTTCCACAATTCATTTGCTGACGTATTTTTAACATAATTATGTCGTATTATGACATGACTGTCTTTGAGGTACGTTAATTGTTCGTCAGCCGTCGTCTAAAGAACATAAAGCGAATGGTTGCGTATATTTATCCCCGTTACAGTGACCTGCGCTATACACGTGTTTGATTATATGCGCAAACTGTTACATATATTTATAGATTAAGTTAATTTTCTAATGGCAAAAAGACGTGTGTTCAATTTGATGTTATTAAGACGTATTGACAGACGTATTGACAGACGTATTGACAGACGTATTGACAGACGTATTGACAGACGTATTGACAGACGTATTGACAGACGTATTGACAGACGTATTGACAGACGTATTGACAGACGTATTGACAGACGTATTAAGATGTGTAAAAGATCTCATGAGTGAAACCAATCAAATATTGCAGTTGTACAGATGGTACTTTTAGTTTTGTAATGTATTACACAGTATTTCTATGAAACATTCTCATATAATAGGTATATATAATTTCTGTGAGCAATAACAATGGCAATCGCTTATGTTTTTTTAAAACTAGGTAGTATATCTTGTCGTGTTTTCATTTGACCCGTCTGCTGAGGAAGGCTCTTAGCCGAAACATTCTTCTCTAATTGTCCTGTCTTTGATACAAGCTTGTCCTTCACACAGCTTGAACTGAGTCCTTCATATATTATCTAGAGAAGTCCAATTGAAGCAGTGATTGCGGACGGACACACTTTATATTTAACAGTAGAATGTGCATTATTATTTTGAAATTAAATGGCTACTGTTTATCAAAAAAAAAAAAACCATATAAAAGAAACTAACATCAGGCCATAACAATACAAGTCAAAATCAAATAACTCAACACATCTGTATTTTCTAAAATATCAATTTATTAAAATTACCTGGATGAATTGTTTATGACATCTCCTTTAAAAAAGAATCCTATAAAATGTCCAAGAGAATCGTTTTAATCAACGTTTTTTAACAACTTAAACGAAAAATATATCTTGACAAACTAGTCTCTTTATTATTGTTTGTTTCATTTGTTGTAGGAGTGAGACTATTATAGCATTGTTTTCTCTTTATTATTTTTTTTTGTTGTGTATTTTTTAAATTGTTATTTCTTTTTTGAACGATTTTCTAGCGCAATGAACATGGCTTTTCACGTTTAATCAAAGTGAAAAGTATCTGCCAATATTAGGATTATTTTTGTATTATAGTCTTTACAAATTAAATCTGAAATATCTCGTCTTGCAGTGTTGGTACAATTGTTTGATGTTAAACATACAGTTTGAATTTAGGTAAAATTGTCTTCAAAGATATTCAAATTGATTCATTTTTATCAACAGTTTTCCCTTTTAACAATCACATTCTTTTAGAGAATTTGTTTTTTTAAAAACAAGCAATTGTGGATTGATCAAAGTACCTCTAAAAAGGATTGAATTGTTTTTATTGAAGACACCTAGAAACAACAAAATGTTGGTTAAGCTAATAATACCATTAAACAACTTACTACTTATATAAACTTTACTATTGAAAGATACTAATGTCACACAAGAGACGCAATAATGTCCTCCAAATTAGCCTGACAAAAAGACTACAGAAGATGCACAGAGCCAAAGCTCCGTATGAACAGAATATTTATCATTCTCGAGTCGCCACAGTAAATTTCTGAAATGGTTTATTTTATAAGATACATATCTTGCAAAATATTACAATAAAGGTATAAATATTACAATACAATAAATATGCATAAAGCATTGCTCTTATGAATCACTATTCTATTGATCCTGTTTCAGAGTTTTAGAGATTTTATTTTAATTAACATTTTAGAGAGTTTATACTAATACTCATTTTAGAGAGTTTACATTAATATACATTTTAGAGAGTTTATACTAATACTCATTTTAGAGAGTTTAGATTAATATAGATTCTCGTTTTGTACATATGTTTTGGGTTAATAATTACGTATATAAAAAATATTTGAGTTCAAATTTATATTATTGAATGTTTATTTATAGAATTCATTAACATCTCGTGTATTTGAAATTGAGAGAACACATTAGTAAAGCGTGATTCTACGAACGCTACATTATTTTACTATTTAACTTAATTTAAGTTAGCTATTTACGTAATTCTTCAAATCAAATAAAAAGGGGCTGAAATAAACAGAAGCAACATCTACAACAACAACAACAACAACCACCAACGTATGGCCTACATATTTCATGAACTAACTTTATGTTGGAGATTAAACAACGTACGAAACAAAAGTCAACACAACAAGCAACTACAACAACAACAACAACAACAACAACAACAACAACAACAACAACAACAACAACAACAACATCTACAACAACAACAACAACAACAACAACAACAACAACAACCACCAACGTATGGCCTACATATTTCATGAACTAACTTTATGTTGGAGATTAAACAGCGTACGAAACAAAAGTCAACACAACAAGCAACTACAACACAATAAACTTGTTATAGAAACTAGCAATTTCTTGCCGCTTGAACATATGCGTTTAAAACAAGAAGCCAACAAACACCATTGGTGTACACCAGGTGAGTCGAGCTGGAATGACGCGAAACTTAACATCAAAATAACCGTCGATTGATCAATATTTGCTGACCAACTGGCTTATTGATCATTTCAGTACAGTATTTTGAGGAAACCAAAAGCGTCATCTAAAATTGAATTGCAAACTTTATTGTTACAAATACATCTTGACCAGCGTTTAAGAAAAAATCCGAGAGTTAGGTCAAGCTATTACGCCCATCAAGCTGAGGTAAGGAAGGTTTCAGAGATAGATAATTATTTAAAATAATTTTCTTTACTTCTTTGTACTATTTAAGGGCCACGCAGAAAAGCCTGCATTTAATGCACAGTTCGAGGGTTCTACTCCTTTATCTTAGAGGAAATAAATTTATCATTAAAAAAATGGAGCTAAGAAAGAAAGGTTAACTTTCTTAACATTACACATCCATCTGATTTATTATTTCATTGTCAAGACTAATTGTAAAGAGCACATTGCCAGATGAAAATAAGTTGAAAATTCTTTTCTACCCTTTACTACCAACTCCCATATACACTTTTGTGATTTCATGTACATCAATCGACCATCTAACATTTCCCCTAAAAACTCCCTTTTAGATTTTACCGTACAACTTTGGTCAGAGCAGCAATACGCCAATTGGACACACCTGATGTTCACCAAAGCTTTGTGACGCTTTGTTCGAAGATTATTGTACAAAGAAGAACACTTGTAAATGGTTGTGACGTTGTTACTTGTGGTATATAATTTTGTAACCATAGCCAGCCCTGAATAAATCCGTCTCTCGCCACTGGTCATCATCGGCCGGCGGCTTCTCCAGCTGCGGTGAGGGTTTCTGCTGGACTTTGAGTCGGTCGAACTCCTGAGGGGTCATGTCCACCTTGACCACGTCGTAGGTCCCGTCCGTGTTGACGACGTATGGGGTAAAGTAGTGCCCGCCGTACGCTGGCAGCTGCATCAGTTTGTTGTAGAGGTAGCTGTTGTGGTACCACGGCGGTGACTTGGCGTTGTTCCCTATGGTAACGGGGCCAGCTTCCGGCTGTGTGTGCATTAGAAACTTGGGTGGGGGTAGCACGTAGGTAGCCGTTTGTGGGTGTGGCGGGCTCGGGTACTGCTGGTGGTAAGGCAGAAGGAAGGGCGTGGACTGAAGGTGGTGGTAGTAATGTTGAGGCTGTGGTGGCAAGTCGCTGACCATTCGTTGGTATTCGTACCCGCTGTAGTGGGGTGGGTGGCCCTGGTCGTAGCTGGTGCTACTGTATCCATGAGAGCTGATCTTAGAGCTACTTTTTTTCTTATCGTACTGAACGCTTTTCTCTTCTTCCTCTTTATTGTCACTGTCGTCCTCTCCTTTCTCATCCCAGAATTTTTTCTCTTTAACATCTTCGTTGTAATCATGCTTAGATTTCCCATCGTTTTCCTCGTCGTCCTCTTCATTTTCCTTGTCTTTTTCGGCCCCAGCTTCATTTTCATCATCTTCGTAGCTATCAGATTTCTCAAATTTCTCGCCTACGGAGCTGTCAAATTTGGATTTCTTGGAAGCGAGGTCTACGGAAAAATCCGGTGCCTCGAAAAGTTTCATTTCTGGAGGGACGGGAGACTTGTCACATTTGACTTCTTTAGCATGGTTACACGTGAGAAGATCCTGCGACCACAAGGTTCCACTCGGGCAGTTGAAGCTGGCGCCCTTGCCCCAGATACAGCGGTAAAACTTCGAGCAGTCGTGGACATCAGGGTAGAAGTTGAACAACGAAGGGCAGTCGAATGCGGCTGTGAGATGAGAAGGAAAGGCAGTGGGCAGTTTTGATCTTTTCAGATGATGGGTTTGAATTTTCAATAATTATTGATGTGAAATAGAACAATCAATTACCATTTTAATTAAAAATTTGGAGGGTGGAATGGTCAAGGTTACTTTAGTTTTTATTGGATATAAAGGCATATGGCGATGGTTATATTTGTATAATTTAAATTGAACTTGCAACTTAACATTGAAAATAATTTTTTTTGTATTGAACAAAAAATGAGAACATTTAATCTAACTGGGATAAGCTTTACATAACGGCAACACTTTTAAATAGCTTACCGAAGATTTATTTGATGTTTTTCAAAAACTAAATAGTTAATTGTTAATCACTTTCTTTTGTGCAAACATATTGGCAATGGATGAATTTGACATTTATTATTTAATACAAAAAGATGCTAATTATACTATGATAAAATTGTAAACTTAATTTAGTGTCTAAATGCCACAATTGCTATAATTATTTGATATTGATATATTAAATCTTTAACCATCATCTATATTATGTTCTTTTAAAAATTATTTTAAAAAAAAATAATAATTTCAATTATTGTTCTGTTGAAGTTGATTATTATAAGTAACCATTTTATTTATTAAAATAACATTTATGTTTTTTTTAGGTCTAATGCTTCTTCTAAATTCGGACTTGACTACTTACCTGTCACGAATGATGTGATAGTCACGGCAATATCTGAAATGTAATTTAAAAATAAATTAAAAAAAAAAAATAAATTCTATTCCAATTGGTAAGGGCGATCCATGTTCAGTGTTTCTAATCACTTCTAATAAGTTCTTGGTGAAGTAAAACATATTTTATGTATAAAATATCCCTACTTTTACTTGCTTGGCGTTTTCATTCCCTCCGCGACAAGCGTCTATTAAATAGTTCTATACTCACACGTCATGTATGTAATCCACATTTTCAGACACACTTCAGAGCTTGAGAAGTATGACCCCAGCACCGTAGCGGCTACATTCGTTTGTCGGAACAATAATTGGAGATTGGCGAGGGTGGTCCGCCAGCGACAGGTTATAACTGGCGGTGTTGTTCGAACGTTGACATATTTAGACAGGGCCCGCCACTCAAACCATGGCTGACATAAAAAGGGGAGGTAAGCGGTCGATGATATTCATTCGTTTTTCTTCATAGTTTGGCTTGATGAACCAATAACAACGGAACAGCCATGAAGGCCTCATTGTTTAAGTGCTGTTGACATGTTGTAAATGTGTATCCAATGTTTTATGGTTTCAGACTGCCCACATTTTATAATCGTAAACCATGGGTATGTAAGCCAGTTAGGTCATTTAAATGGCTTTTCATCTTATATATATATTTATTTATTTATTACATATTTAGATTTGAATTAAATAGTTTTCTACCAAAGCTGTCTAGAGCTTTCCAGGGAATACATTAGTTCTTTACAATTTTTAAATAAAATTGTTTATCATTAAGATTAAAGAAAAAAAATCCAGCAATAAATAAAAATCAATATAATTTTATGATTGAAAATAATAATTTCTTGTATAAAAAACATATTCTAGGCACCTAACGTTATTTTAGGCACAAAAACGTTGATCCTACCTGGAAATTCTTATAGATAGGATATACAACATTTAACAAAGAACATTGTACTGTAAGTCCACAATCACAATCACAATCAGCATTTATATTCTCTCTGGATTAATCTTGGCAATCACCGGAAGTGGTTTGGCCCAAGACTCCGCCATAAACACGTCGTAGGTGGCAGCACCTGCAGTCAACACCAGGTACAGCCATCACGTCTGCAAACACAGCCCGTTCTACGTTCACGGCACCTTCTTAATGTGATATGTTTACCACCTGACTTTCTGTCAAGTTTCCTGGACGCACCCGTTGACCTATGTCCTTCGAGTAAAAAAAAAATCCCTTTCCCAAAAGTCCCGGTCTTAGAAAACATAACTGAACACCAACATTTGACAACTGTAGAAAGCTAACAGTCTTTATCATGTGAAACGTCATTGGGGTATCTACAAATAATTATGTTGTAGGACACAATCTGTTGTGGGAAGTCATATAGGCCTTTTCATCTTTTAAAACAAATTCAAGCTGAAAAGGTGGTGATTAACTTTTCTTCATAATACACTGCACAGTGTGGCGGAAACCTGAGGCGAAGACCTGGTATAAACAAATTAGGGCATACTAGGAAATGGTTCATTATTATTTTCAATAGGGATAAAAAGGTGATTTTTCACATCAGTGATAGCTTAGGGAAATTAAAATCTAACTATGATTCATAACTATTCATAACAAGGCACTCATAACAAGGCACTATGAAGGCATTCATAACAAGGCACTCATAACAAGGCACTATGAAGGCATTCATAACAAGGCACTCATAACAAGGCACTCATATCAAGGCACTATGAAGGCATTCATATCATTGATTGTTGAGTGGAGGCAATTTGAAATGTACATTACGATTGCACTACCAGCAGGACACGAAACAGGGCACAAAATGAATCCGAAATGGTTTTAAAGTTATATGACATGAGTAGGGGGAGGGAGTTGATGTGGGGTGGTGGTGGCAAACAGAATCCAGACATGCACAACATAGTTTCCCACTCAGAGATTGACTAAAAAAGTTTAAGCGAACCTAAAAGAAGGAAATTATCTTCTTAAAATTTCTTAAACTTTTTAAAACATGTTTTTATTTTCTTCTTTTGAGTATGATCCACACAGAAAAATTATTTTGTTTTGTTCACTGTAACCGGAGATTTTTTTAAAGCGTGCTTTGTTTTCAAAACAATGCAAGCCCACAAGACTCCGCTTAAATTGACAAAAAAGTTAGAATTTAATGACGGCCTGGCAGCCGCTAATAAGAGTCTTATTTCCGAAATGTCCAGGGGTAGGGTCATTGTTTTTTTGATCACCTTTTCTTATTTGTCAATCACTCACTACCCCAACTCCAGCCCACGCACCTCCCGGTGCAGCCTACCGGAGTTGTAACTACGTGTGATCAATTCAATGTCCCTTTTTTAGGTCATCACATGCATACGGTGAACAGACCGTGCCTGAGTGGCATGCGAATCAACAAAACAATTAGGACAAAGAAAAAAAAAACAAGATGGAAATGCGAGTAGAAAGAAAGTCTTTAGCAACATCGGGTTCCGGTAGTCTGCCTCACAGATCAAGACATTGTTGCAATCTATGACAACAAAGTCATCCATTCTGTTTCAGATTGTCATGTCCAGTCCGTGGAATGTGACCTGTTCAACAACACTCCTACAAATTCATTGGGGGCTCCATCTCATGACGGGGGCCCTAAATGTTTGCAGGCCCACACAACAAATTAACTTCGCGTGACGGAAGACGTTATTCTGTTGAACACCTCGTGATTAAAGTCAAACATCACTGTTGGCGTCTGCTCCACTAACCAAACAGGCGGTGCCCGGATGACGCTCGCTGTTTGGTTCTCGTTGCTAACCGCTGTCACTCTAAATAACGAAACGTTTTCAATGTCACCGATAAGAAACTGGCAAAAGGGGAATTTTTATTGGGTTTGTTTGACAACTTTAAAATGTGGCGGAAAACAATACACCTTTCTCAGTCTGCATTGGTTCTAAAACTCTCGTTTTTTAACAATGAGTTGCGGCTCCTTCCAATAAATAATTCTGCTTTCATTTATTTTGTGCTGGGTAAAGATATCTAATTAAAATAAATATAAAGATTATTCCCTAACCAAAGTCAGTTAAAATATAACCAAACAATCCAAAAAAAAAGAAAGTTTTCTTGCAAATCGTTCAGAAAATGCATTATCGAACCTGGGGGGAGGAGCTAAAATTTTGACAAAACCTGCATACAAGTGACGTACTTTATAAGAATCCCAATCTCACATTTGTTAACGATATTAATCTCTTTCACATCTCAGATTTATTTCACCAAATATTTCATTAAAAACAAAAGAAAATATCATGCGCCAAACGCACTTGCGATATTTATTTTTTTACGAATCTCATTTAGCGCACTTATAGAGGATTTTATTTCGTGAAATCATTGTCTGTGTGCCAAGTTTCAGCTCGATAGGTTGCCGGGAAGTGGGTCATTTAGCCGTCCAAAGATGTTGCCAGCAGGCCAGCCACGAAAAAAAGTGGAATTATTATAAAGGATAACAAAAGTAAAATAATTATAACTCGTCGAGACTTTTCAGAAGGACACCTCAGTGAATAAACTTAACTGTATTGAGCTATCTGATATGTCTCTTTGCAACTACCTTGTATTTGCACTGATGAGTATCTAATATTTGTACTTATAAGTTTCGTGTATTTATACCTTTTATTTCGATGTGCCACGTCAGGCGAAGGCTTAAAATATTAAAAGAGTTTACATTCTTTTTACATTGTTTTACAACGTTGACTGTTAAAATAGTTATTGTAAACATAAAATGTTGAAATATTTACGTCATTTATTCAACCATCAAGCCTAAATCCTATACAAACAAACATGTAAACAAAAACTACATTTACATTCAAAGCCATCATTTTTATGCATCTTTCTTTTGTTTCACATATCGATACAAACTGTTTTATCCATCAAATTGACTTCTTCCATGTTGTTCATCCACCAAGCCATCAATCAACCAAAAATTAATCAAGCAACAAATCAAACAACAAATCAACTAACCAACAAACAAACCTGTCATGGAAAATGTAGAGCAAGAAAACATATTGGATTACTAGGAGGAGAGTATTTCATTTATTCCATATGGTGATGTTGTGCGAAACAGCTGAATTAATTTGTTTTCCCTTCCAACTCTCGCTGATATGCTGGTACAGGAAATCAGTGCTGTGATGGATACATCTAATGTACATTCATTTTTTATCTCCGCTGAAATGGGAGAAAGTTTAACATGTTTAATATGACGCCTACATAACAGGAGCAGCTTCTACGGTGACACTATCACATAGATAACATTTCCACTAACACTTTTGAAGCCCTCTTTGATGATAAAAGTACCCTTAAGGAGGCTAATGTTTTTGGTTTCAAGAGTTTAGTGACCATGCCTGTAACAGCTTCTTGAGCATGGTTTAGTCCCAACATAAGACGGGTGAGCTCGAAGGCGACCGTGAACCAGAAGGTCACCTACATTTTAGAATAAAATGTGTGTTAAAAATGAATTAATTCGGTTGTAACGAAATGAAATGGGAACATCTTAAGTATATGATATGTAATTAATTGAAGAGGTACAATTTTATATGAGCATACTGTTTCATGCTTGTATGGCCAGCCTTTACTATTGCAAGCTAAAGCTTAAGGACCGGTAGCTCAAAGAGAGAAGGCTAAAACATCAGATCAAATTTAAATCAGTCTTTTATGTCATAGCAAGAGCAATATGTCCATATAAATGGTATTTTTTTAATTGTTACAATTTTCTGTTCAATAATTTACAGATAATATGTAATACTAACGTTTACAACACATTTTCTTGGATAATTTCTTGTGAATTTACTGCACCAGGCATAGCTTAACATGGTAATAGCTTGTAATGCCTAACACATTTTCAGGGTTTTAAATGTCAGTCTGCAACAGATATTGCTATTGTATGGCAGACAGCAACATATTTAAGAGTTTGATAGATGTTGATATAGATGTTTATATAAATTAAAAAAATTATGCAAATGAGGCAAGTTTTAATAGCACAAATTAGCGGGTGGAATAACTACGCGACAAACAGAAAAAGACATCAGCATCGATGAAATCAAAATTGTTAATTATAACTCTCCCACAAATTTTCATACCATCCACAAAGGCAAGGTGACCCAGATTAAAGAAGGACATTACAACTCAGAAAAAAGATTTTGATTAATTACTCTCCAACAAAATGTACCAAATAAGTATACTGCAAAAACTCTTTTCATAAAACTCTTCCTATTAAATATACTTTTCTTCATTATTCAGTTATAGCTACCAGTAGATTGTACATCATTTGAAAAAAAAAATGTGAGACGAAAAATAATTTAAAGGATAGAGGATTTAATTATATGTAAGGCAGGTGAAGAAGATGATCTTAAATTTTAGAAATTATTCATAATCAGTTGAGTAGTTTTATGTCATTAGTGAGAATCAGAGTGTTGCCAGTGACTGTAGGTGGTGAATCACACAGCCAGACACAGATGTTGACATAATGATAGACATTACAGATGATTACACAGTACGGCCCTCTACTCGGGTTAACATCGATTCTTGCCAGTGCTGTTAAACATATCTTCAGCTGGAAGAATTCCTACATAAAGTAAGTTAGAAAGAAAAACGCAAAAAATTTTCATGGGGAAATTCATATGAAAAAAAGATATCTCTGGAAGCACCAATCGGTTATTTGAAGTTTGTAATAAAAAATTTTGTTTCCGTTATGTTGTAAACACATCAAACATTTTCTTCTATATACCATGGTATTATGTGCTGTTGGGAAGACATCAAAGTATGTCTTCTGTAGTCTATCATATTATGTGCAGTTGAGAAGACATCAAAGTATGTCTTCTGTAGTCTATCATATTATGTGCAGTTGAGAAGACAAAATATACACAGAACAAAATGTGTACCGTGAATGAAAAAAAAAGTCCATTTATTCGGATAATAAAATATCGTATCTCATTTTATCTTATATTATGTGTGTTTGAGAAGAATCAAACTATGTCTTCTAACGACTTTCATATGTTTAGTTAAAGAAAAGAGATAAAAAATAAACTTAAAATCTTAGACGCAAACACCTTTACCTAGGTTTATTTAAGGCCAATCCTTTTTTTATCATTAAATTTTGCATACTACAAATTTAAAAGGAGTTATGCCTAAAGTAAAAATTTAATCCTCTCAATTGAATCTATCGAAAGTTAAATAAATAAATATAAATAATCATATGTATAATTCGTTTGGAATTTGTGTGAATATAATTCTATTGCTTACAAATTTATTTATCCAGCTAAAATTAGGTCAAACTGTGAAGCTATTAATAGAAAAGATGCGTTAAAGGTTTCTAAAATATAATAACGAATTATGAATAGTTGCTAACTTTACAACATCAAGCCAAACTGAGTTTAGACTGATCAACAAAGTTAGTCTCTCATGGCCAATAGAACAGGTGTTTCGCCTGGAGATATTTCATACGGCCTAATGAAAACAATGGAGCTACTGCTGACCAACATTCTAGCTCCTAGCGTCACTGTGGTGGGTGTGGTGGCCAATGGTGTCAGCATTGCAGCGTTCGCCAGGCTCGGGCTCGGAGACAGTGTCACCGTCTCTTACTTCCTGTTGACCATATCAGACTTTGCCTTCACCATTAGTAACCTGATCATCATCGTGTCCATGATGTTTGTCCAAACAGGTGGTCAGTGGTACGTGGACCCGTTATCTTTGACCATCGTCGTCTACCCTGTGAACCGGATCTTCTACGACCTTTCCAACACGATTACCTGCTACATCGCCATCGCCAGGTGTTGCTGTGTCGCCTTGCCCCTCAAGTTCAGATCAACCTTCACGAGGTCAAGGACGTTTGGGATCATCGGTGTCATGTACATAGGATTTTTCGTGGAGTTCACACCGCTGTTTGCCAACCAGGGTCTTCACGAGGTGTTCTTTCCGGCATTGAATGTATCTCGGGTGATCGTTTGGTTTTCGAAGGACAGGGATCAGATAGTCAAAATCATATTTGACAGCATTAACAGGAATTCGTTTCTCATCATCACGTTCCTGATATCCGTTATATGTTTGATAATCATCTTCAACGGCCTAAGGTTATCATCTAAATTTAGAATGTCCTTGAAAACTCAGGCATTGCCGAATGAAATTGATCGAGTAACGGACGGAAAGAAAAACGAGCAAGTGAAGTCAAGCATGTCGGTGTTAGAGATTAAGGTAGTCCAAGGCGTGGCTTTGGTCGTGTTGATATCTGTCTCGTGCAATTTCCCGATGATATGCATGGCTTACAGCCGACTGGCCGTCCCCGAGCTGGAGCTGGGCAGAGCTTACAACAACTTGTATTTTCTGATCAGCAACATCAGCAGTTTTATCATCTCTGTGAAGAATTCTTTCAACTGGATCGTGTATTACAATTACAACACACGTTACAGAGAGGCTATCAGATCTTTGTTTCTGAAGAAAGGCGGCTTGAAATGATTTAGTCACGTAGAACGTGTCTAAGAAGTACATTGTATCTGTAACTGGCCCTAATGTAAACTACGTTAATGAATCTCTGTTATTTGAACAAGTCTTAGTACTTCTAATGTGTTCCATCAAAAACAACTCTAGCATCCCTTCCTGTGGTGCGGAGAGTCACCTGGTGTCTAAATAATTCAAATAACTGTTTAATTAAGGTTGCACGCGAGTTTTTCTCAGAAAGAGTGGTTCAATTAAATAGCTTTAAAAAAAAAAAACCCAGATGAATTAGATTTTGACAGTTATATAAAAGAAATGGTTTGTTCATTAACTCCAGAATAAGTTGTTTTATTGTTTTAAATCTTTCGTTTCGTTGTTGATCTTTACTTTGTATGGATTTTTTAAAATATTGAAGTTAGAAATATGAAAGATGTAGTTGCTTCCCCGATGTTTTGATATAGTCAAGAAGATATTTATAAACTATGACCTGTTAAGGAACATGTTATGCTACCACTTTGAACAAAAATTGATGTATGAGTGAGCCGTAAAAAGAATTATTTACCATTCAAGGAACATTAACCTTCAAATAACTTTAAAAAAAAAAATCTGCAATGCACAGGAGGAGCAGCTGAAAGTAAGAGAAAGAACTTCCCGTGCAGTTGGATGAAGAGGGGGCAGGCGGGATGGGGAGGGGGGAAATACCCTTAGATACCACTAGCGAGGGGAGGGGGAAGTACCCTTAGGTACCACCAGCTCTTCAGGTTTCGAAAAACTCGGTGATTAAAAAAAAATGATTTCGGTCACATATTTATTGATCCAGTTTGTCTACACATTGAAACATTTTTTAAAGGAATGTGTTTGTAATAATTATATTGAAAACATCCTACAAACATTAGAAACAAATTAAAAAGTTTTTTATAGACTGTGTTTGTACTAATTATAATCATAACATCATAAAAAACTAAGATAAGATAAGATAAGATTCTTTTATTGATCCTAATAAATGGAAATGTTTTTTGATTGCATTATACATTTTCAGCACAAAAATAAAACAATTTGAACATAAGACATTTATAATAAATTATTTCTAACAGCCATTCAGTCAGTTCTCTTAGCAAAATCGGTACTTATTAGCTGTTATTCAGATGTGTGACTTCAGAGGAAGCACGCCGGTAAATTCGTACAGATTGGGGAACAAAATAATTTTTATATCGGTCAGTCCTCGCCCTGATGGAAAGAATTCGTCCCGAACGGCCCGATCCTAAGTATCTGTAATGAAGAGGATTGGATGTATCATCCAAAATGTGTTTAGTTTTGCAAAAACATCTTTCTTCAAATAGTTCTTCAAGTTAAGTGTTTAGTTTGTGTTATGTTTCTAGCTTTCTTGATTAGACGGTTTATGCGGTGTTTAATATCAGACGTTGAATTCCCACACCAGCAGGTAATACTGAAATTAAGTAGGCTTCCAATAGTTGCAATGTAGAATAAGTTAACGACTTGCTTGTTTACGTCAAAATTGTAAAGTTTTTTGAGGTAGAACAGTCTTTGGTTGAATTTCTTATACAGGATTTGGCCGTGCTCATGCCATGTTAGCTTATTAATGTGACACCCAAGTACTTGTACCCCTCCACTTTCTCCACATTTTGATTTTTTATGTTGAGATCTGTAATCAGGAAAAAATTTGAAAAGTTGTTTAAAGACTGTTTGCAGTAATTATAATCATAACATAATAAAACACTAGGAAAAAATTGATAAATTTTTTGAAGCTTTTTTTTTTACAAATTATAATCATAGCATCATAAGACCCTAGAAACAAACTAACACGATTTTTGAAGACTGTGTTTGTATTAATTATAATCATAACACCATAAAACACCTTTAAAGGTTAGTGCCTTTAAAATCAACCAGTATTTCGCCCACCAACAAATTAATCGGTTTGGTCACATAGTCGAATTGAATGTCAACCAACCTGCGTTGCAAGTTTACATTTGCAGGCACTCCAGTTTCAGGTCAAGAAGAAGACCACGTCTTCGGTGGATTGACTGTATTAGTGTCACCCTAAAAATCTACAATATTACACCCCCCCCCCCAAACAGGCCTCACATCATTCCGGCAATCCTTCAATCATACCCCACCTTGACACATGGTAAAAGGGGGCAGAAGAAGAAAAAGAGTAAGACAAAGTATCAAGTGTTAGTGTAGAGTTTCAGCTCGATTATTAGAACAGTGACTTACCTTGATTTACTGTTATTTTTTAAAACGTTCCTGATTAACTTTTACTTCCTATTTATCTCATGAAAAGGATTTACACATGCTTTTTATTAAATTTGAAAGGACAATTGATTTTGTTACGCACACTTTGTGTACTAAAAACCTATACAAACAATCTCTTAAATATAATTCTCTTCACCTGGGGGTGGTCTTCAATATTTCAACTTTTAAATACAAATGTATTGATTTCCCGTGATACTGCTATTCAAGGTTATCACTAAAATTCTACACTAAGTTCTTGACTAAGCATGAAGGAGATGGTGAAGAGGAGGTTAGTTGTTTAAAAAAAAAGTTATTTATATTATCGTCTCTTTTTTTCGTGTGTGGCTAGCTGGAAGACTGAAGAAATTTTCAGAGAGCTAATTAACCAGCTTCCCTCAAGCTATCGAGCTGGAACTTGGCATATACGGAAGGCGCACTTTCGCATTTGCTGACCCAACAATAATTTGTGACACCCTTCCTGTCGCTCTCAAAAACAGCCAGACACTGAGCTCCCTAAAAACCGACTTGAAAACACATCTATTTCGCAAACACCTGCTGGAGTGATGTTGTCTACCATCTTTTCCAGCTAGCTTTTATCTCCTTCATGAACATTGGCTTGTGTTGTTTATGGTTGCAAGGGATGAAATACTTTGAATGGATATGCTCGTATGTCGTCTATGTAGTGTTGCGTTTTGTATTTCAATGTGGTAAAATATAGATTGTTTCATTTCTTTTTTATATGATTGACTTTGTACCGTGCTTCAAGCCTTTGGGGATGAAGCGTGATTATTCAAATAAACTTTATTCTTATTATTATTATTATCGTTATTATTTTATAGACTCGTCATAAATGACAACATATTGTCTCAAATTTGTAGGCCCAACGCACAAAAAAATCATTTTTTTTTCTAAAATTGTTAGTGAAATAAATCTGATGTGTAAAAGTGGTTGTGAATTAGATTATTAATATAAATCAGAGGCGAGAACAAATGTGCGGATGGGAGCCTTGAAGGGGAGGAGGGGAGCACTAATTTGGGTTCTTCTTGTAAAGTGGGTTACTTGTCTGCATGTTTTGTCAAATTGTTCGTGGCTAACTGGATGGCGAGCTTATTCTTCGGACGGCTTATTGACACACCGTCACGCTATTTAGCTGAAACTTGGCAAATAGACTCGTTGCTGATGGCAGCTCATTATTTCAATTTTTAAGCCCCTTCCCCTGTTACGTACTGTTATGAGTGCAGAGAATATAATATTTTATTTGACAATTTATCTCGTTGATAAACATTACACAACGAAGACGATGCCATTAAGTAAATAGAATAATACAGAAACGATACTCTAACTAGATCTAATTACAATCAATAATTTTATTAAGTTAATTAAAAATTACAAAATCAAAAAGAAATAAAACTAAAGCTATTGACTTATATTACAGTGATGACTTATACCAGCACAATGTTGAAGAAGGTACATTGTTGAAAAAAGAAACATGTACACACATGTTAAATTTTAATACACACACCTTTGTCTCGTATCCTAATAGCATATCTCTATCAGCCTTACCTCTACCCGCTCATCTCCCTAGGCGTATATATAGTCTGTTTCAGAGACAGTTCTAGAAATTGGTTCAGCATTGAATAAGTGGCCTCGACTCGTCTCGTATAATCTAAAGATTTCTACTTGTACAGACAATAGACCGTATTTATTTGTACTCAAGGTAAAGGGAGACTATTTATAATTAAGGCACACTCCGTAGTGATGCCGAACTTAGGGTTATCTAAAGCCCATTCAAGAGAAAAGAGTACTTAAAAAATACTTCCAAAGGTGACATGAATAAAAAAATCCTAATAAATGCACTCAATGAGATTCTTTAAAAAAATATTTTAAAGTGCTTTTAGTGCGTAATATATTTTTTTTTCTTTTCTGAAATAGTTGGTGCAATATATTTGCGGATAAAAAGCAGATGGGCCATTAAAATTATATTAATACAGTTTAGGGGCGTGAACAAAATATGCGGTTGTGAACGTTTGGAGGGTGGAGCACTAATGTGGATTCTCATTAAGTGCGTTACTTGTATGCATATTTTGCCAAATACTCACCCCTTCTCCCCCCTTGCTCGATATTACGCTTTATAAAGGATTTATACAAACAACTTTGCTGTTAGGGGATGTTGAATCAATTTTGAAGTCCCTTCCGAATACAAATCCCGTGAAATGGGATGGTGTGTAATTTAAAATCCTACTAGCAACAAAGACAAAGCTCTAGATGCTGTTGCTCCAGTCCAACGTCAAGAAACTTATATAAAACAAATTTAAATAATTAATTTTTTTCTTTTTCTTGATGCCTCTAGATCGATTCCCCGTTAAATGACCCTAGCTAAAATAAAAATTAATTGAACTTCAGACCATTCACATAAACATTATTTGGTAAATTACATTCCAATTTTTATACCACCGACTCACAGAGCGCTACAGAGATATCATCTGGTACTCAACTTTCTCTCATTTCTTTCATCGACATTAAGGGGCTAACTGCTTGATAAACATTCTAACTAGTGAAATGACGTTTTTAATCAGCGAGAGACGACACAATGTGACGTCAGTTCCTTAAGTTCATCTGATTTTAATAAAGTTAATTATGAGTTCAAAGAGTGTTACAATTTATTGTTTGCTGGTCTCTATTTCCAAATTAAGGTGAATCATTTCACTGGGATTAAATATGTCTTCTAGTTGATAACTAATGTTGAATTCTGAGAAATGAATTCCATAAAAGTCAATCGATTGTTACACAAGTGATAATATTGTGATATGATTTTATTAAACGTTTCAAGTAACAACCATAATTGAACAGAAAGTCAATGAATTATTACAACTTGATATTGGTAGAATAAGATTTTGAAGAGAATCTTAACCTCTCTGTTCTTTATACAGTTCAACTTCTCTGTTCTTTGTATAGTTTAGCTTCTCTATTCTTTGCATACTTTATCTGTTCCTTGTATCGTCTAAAAAGGTGTATTTTAGAGAACGAAATAATCCGATTTAATTGACTCGTTTTGAAAGGAGA